GAGATCAATCAATTCTGCTTGACTCAGTCTGTGCGGTTTATCATCTTTTCCCCCAAAATCAGGGTGACGGGATATGGAAGGCTTGTTTGATTCTTCTTCTTGTTCCACACTGTCTCCATGTTCCACTAGAAATATATAATTTTTGGGTTGAGTAGGAACTAGTAAACTATCCGAATGCTGAATGGGTAGAATAGCAGATCCAAGATTTGGGTGTGTAACTTCTTTTCTTCATGGACAATCCTGCCTTTATAGGGGGGTCAAGCAGAAATGGCAGTCATCTGTATGGTTTGTAGCTAAGCCTTAGGTCGTTTCTTCTTTCTCATCCATTCTCGCAGTGTAACTGAACATGTGTTGCCAAGAATTATTCTGGTTCTTTACTATCATACCGAAATAATGCTGATAGGCTGTCTTTACAAGAGGCCTCAGATTGCATTTCTGTGAGGAACATGTTATTTCACCTCAAATATAACAAAAATTACACACCATATTTAAACCTTTTCGTGGCATTTTTACGAATTTTACACTAAAAAAGCGCTCTCGAACCTGATATTCTGCATTAAGTACAGCAGAAACTCACAGTCACAGCAACAGTAACTATGTTTATGACTTACAAACAGTTGAAGAGCATTCGTGTTTTGTTATTTGACAGGTGTACCAATCTCCCTCCCAAAAAAATTTCTCCTAATTGAAAATCTTCCCTCTAAAAAATGAAATGTCTCTTTATCTCCAATACAAGAGATAATCTATCATTTCTTTTTTAATTTAGCAGATAAGAATAGATATGAATTGACTATTTTTGAGGCTGAAACATTTTCGTTGTTGCCCACTGTAATCAATTGTCAATTTAACGTCCAGCCAAGTTGTGGCAAGTTTTCTCAAGATTATGGATTTATTGCACATGGTTATTGCACACTGCCAACTTACTTCCTGACAATTGGGGTTATTTATTTAGTTAATACTTTATCGTAGACTTCGGGATCCCAAATGAGGATTAAATAGAAGAATAGCTCCCCCTATATCCGCTTAATAATAACAAACTGAGAAAATGGAGAATGAAATATAATCCTTTTATTGATTCCGTGGACCGAATTATTTCAGGCCCGCTCCGAGAGAGCTCGTTGATATTCAGTTCAGACTCCGCCATCAAACTAAACTTGTTTAATTAGATATACGAAACACGTCTGTTTGAGCTATTCCAAAAGACTTTCTCAGTTATAATTCTTCGAGGGACTGCTCCATTCGGACTTAAACGACTCTCGGCGCAGTTATTGTCATGAGCGCTGGTTCCTTCATGTTTTCTATACGACGTGCTTTTACGACAGTCGCTCTGTACGGTTCGTCCATTTAAAAGTGAGGTGAGAGAAGATGTGTCGTAATGGAGAATGTTATTATCATAATGGCAACAGAAGAAACTAAAAGAATGATATTTTGTGTCTTGTTTTGTTAATATCTCTCGTCCCTTTGATATTTTTTCTATTCCCATTAAACTATGATTGAGGGATGCTACTAGACTCCTTTAATAACCAGTTAAACTGAATCTAAGCAGATGATTAGTCTAATATAAGGAGGTGATTTTAAATGTAATCGTATACAGGATCATTCAGTGCTTAGTGACCAAACTCTGGGAGATGATTCTAGACCAAATTTCCTTTAAAAAAAACAACTAAGGTGTGTGCTTTAGACCACACGGAAGAAGTGGAAACATAAACAAGGCGTGATTAATAATTTGAAATATAAATTATAAATAATAGCCCATTACAGAGAGGATGGAATATTGAACGATTCTCACGCTTACAGTATGCAGGTCCGATTTTTAGTTTCTGAGATATTTTAATCCATATGTAAAAACATTTCAATTATTCGACTCCAGCCGACTTAACACTCTGAAAATCAGATGGATCAATCTAATTCACTCTCCAAAAAAAGTGCAAAACGAGACTAAACAAATTTTCACTTCAAAAAGTTTTATTAGATGCTTGATCCGTTTCCAAACAGAAAAGAAATTAATTATTATAATTATTATTATTATTATATTAATTATTATTATATCGACTTAAGTCCAATTTGCTTAATAGTAAACTAGACAAAATTGCTTTAGAATTTCGGCAGGGTCTTCGTCAAAACCATTTAATGGGGCTGAAATATGTTAAGTTGTATTTTTTATAAAACCATGATTATTCGTGATTAATTTCATCACCCTATAATTGATCTATAGATCCCCTACTGCTTTAAAAACTTCTTTGTTATAATTATAATAAATTATAATTGCATATCAATTTAATAGATTTTATTTACAGATTCACGTCTATTTGTTTGATAAAGTGTGTATTTTGATATCCTGTAACCCAGGAGTATTTTCAGCAAAAATGGCAACCGCTAAATTATTACAAAGTTTATTATATTATACTTTTTTTTTTACTGTGCTCTGATATCTATTGTAATATATTAATTATAAAAATGAACTTTTTATTCATTAAAAAAATATATTCAATAAGCACTGCTTTTAAAAAAAAATGGTCATCTAAGGTGATAGTAAACCTTTGTTTTTTTTACACAGATCTCTTATTTAATTATCTAAATTAAATAAGTTTTGTTTTATCGTTTCCCATGAAAGCGAAAACGTGACAATCTTAAGAAAACAAAAACTTAAATATTTTATTGTTGTAAATTTTGGCCAGAGATTTGAATTACCCTGCATAGATATGTTTTATAGTTTGATGTTTCTATATGTTGATAATAAAATAACTTAGTAGTCTTGAAGTACCACTTGCCGAAAGTGTAGCAATAGACCAAAGTCAGTAGTGAAACACTTATTATTACTAGAGTGTCCTCCATTAAAACAAAAATTAAGCAAAATTCAAATTATCTAGTATTGCAAATTATCAAACTAAGTAGGTATCACAATAAAATATATAAGAATAACTTACCGTCGATGACCCTCTAAGGCAGCGTGTGGGTACCATGTGAAAGTGACGAATGTGAAACGTGGGGCAGTTTACAAATTCGTTACTCTAACATGGTGCCGATGAAATTTTTGATTAACTTAATCCATATCTGGAGTTTTTTTCTAGAAGTCTTTTGGAAAGTGTGTCAATTTATTATTATAAACGTTTACCTGCCGAATCAATTTGTTTTTTTAGGAAAACAGGAATAAACATTGGAATTTTCATGAGGGAGTCGTTCGTTTCATAATTCATCCAGGAAGGAAATAACTTTTTTTAAAAATTATTTTCAATGTAGAAAATATAGTCAGTAACCATGTGCATTTATTTATACAAGCTTTCATGTCAAAAACAGTTTTTATATTGCGTCGAGTTTCGTAAAAAAAACTTAAGCATTCTTTAGATATTTATCTTCCTTAATATATTATGAAATCGATCCGTTACACCACATTCGCGGTACTACATTAGTAAGCAGTCTATTCTGATATTGGTAATAGTTTTACCAATCAATTTGATTGCGTGCCACTATAATTTCACCAATGTGATTGGAATGGGTTGACGTTTAATCAAGTTACTATCGCTTTGGATAGCAAAACTTTCACGTTATCGAACTGCTTGTTCCCAAATAGCAAATACAATTGGAAATGTGTGTATATTAATTATATTAATAAATATCTACCGTGGGGATTTGCACATATATGTAGATATATATTTATAAAATGATTATAAAAATATATCGATTAATTATATAAATTGATAGATGGGGAATCAGTTTTTTCAGTCAAAAAATATTTATTGATCAGTTAAAAGAGGTACTTTCCATATTCTGCTATTTTAAATTTGTTATGTCCATTAATCTCCAACAATACCATTTCACGACGTATCCTTAAATAAAGAATACTGAAGATTGAAAAGATTAACAAATATTGATACCAATGTAACGTCAAACTGAATATATATAAATTGATTTTTTTTTCTCAGTATTGTTATGCAATAGAAGTCATCATCTTTTCGCTTGAACAAAATATGTTTACCTTATTAAGACTATTCAGCTAAACTATCATTACTTTCGAAAACAATTTAATTACTTATTATTAAGCTGAAACTACGTATAATTTATTTTCGGAAATGCTAAAAACACGCAAAGATTCCGAAGTAAGAGTACATAGGCTCATGATAGCAAATAACCCTGAGGTCCTAAAATATCTTAACTTAAAGATTTCGGACATTACTACCTTGATTAAAAAAAAAATCTAATTATAAAAATGTAATTTTTTTTTATACCCCCACTTATCAGCTCTTGCTACGGAATATACAAGCACTCAATTATATTTTAATCCTTTGATCCTTACGCCGAATTCAATAAAGAACGTCAGAAAGAAATATTACTTAATACTTAAGGACCGAAATTGTTTTATTTTACACAATTAGACAAAGAATTTCATTATTATTTATAGAAATATCATTATTTAGTAAAAAAAACAAGTTCCGTTTAAATAATTTATTTATATTCTTTTTGTGGACGTTTCGCATACCTTGTCTATCATCAAGGATAATTTATTCTGTTTTGGGTGACAATATTTCTAGAGAATATTTATGTTACAGGGTGGCGACCGACCTGGAAAACATGAGAAAAATCAGGAAATTTTAAAAACAGGGAAAATTCAGGCAGAAGTCATAGAAAAGTTGTATCATTTTTTTGGATAAATGGATAAATCTATAATATTCTTTCCATTGATAAATAAATGAACAAGATGTGATCGGAATAATTGTCAAATATATTTTATTTGACAAAATATTTTTCATAAACATACAAATTAAAATTTATTTTTTTTTTTAATTTAAGAAGAGGTCCTGTAGGGTCTGTTTTCAAATTTAAAAATTAATGTATCATATTTCGAGTTAATTTTATATTATGCCAGTTGAGGAATAAATAATATTTTATGGACAAATGCAGGTCCCAGGGCGAGGGATCGGACGTCGAGGGACCCGGACGTGGTTGGAGGCGATAAGGGAGTTGGATTGAGGAAGGCAAGGTATCCGAGACAGCTTTGACAGATGGAGGCTGCCCTCCCGTCAATCGTCATCCCTATTCACCCTCCGGATATTCTTGGAGGTTTCACGATCTTAGGCCTGTCTGGGAGGGTCGCTTCTCTCTTGTGCCACATCTTGGAAGGCCTTCCTCGATTTAGACGTCCTCTAGGCCTGGTAGGCTCTTGAAATCAAGAAAGCATCTTCTGATAGAATTGAATCCATACTCGGAAAATTGTGACCAAGATGTTATGTGATTATTTTTTACATCTACTACAACAGTAAAGTAAATTTTGTCAGGCATAAATTGTATTTATTTAAATTAAATAATATTCCAATTTATGATAATTCCTACCATCTGTAGTGTTGCTCAAAATCAGTTTTGGTCTTGGTCTTGGCACTTTGCAAGACCATGACCATGGCCGCCTAACTGTTGCAAGACCAAGATCAGGACTGGTAAAAAAATCGATTTTTTAAATAAAAACTAAAGCAAAATCGTTACTAATACTCGCCAATCTTAGTTACTATACATAAAGAATTGGTATAACAAATATACTTTTGCATTTAACTCCTCTAATTTTTCATTCGGGGTTAGTTAGGTTTCTCCTATCTAAATAATTACACTAATATCTCGATGGTAATAAGCTAATAAGTAACTGCAAGACTCTTGCGCAAGACCAAGATTGTTTCACAACACAGACTGATCAGTCAATATTCATAAGAATAAAATAAAAAATAATGCAGACACACCAGAGGTCAAAGAACCTTTGAACAAAACCGAGGGTAATTATGGAACTGTATTGGCCGATAATACTGAAATATTAATCTTCCTGTCATTTTATTCTTGAAATGAAGAATGTCGCACAACCTTTAGCAAAAGTAAATCTTCGGTTTTAAAGAATATCATAAAAAAATATGTTAATCGGCTTCTCATATTGTTTCGTCTGAAGATGTTTCTTATGAAGAACAATTTAATTGGACGTATGTATAATGCAAAACAGTCAATACACAGTACTCCAGGAAGAATAATTGGATTATATGTCAATTATCAAATTTTATTACAATCCAATGTCATTTGACAAGTAGTTAACAATCCTGTTCTTATTTTATTTCCACCGACGAATCCAACCACTTTCAAACTTCTAACATTAAACACCAAATGTTGGCGATCATCAAATGTTCGGTTTTAAAAAAAGAAATATGCTACAAGAAATAATGACATGTCAGGCATCGGAAAGATCAGAACTCTGGGGCACATCTTCCCTCACTTGTTTCCCTCAAACTTGGTTGTCTAAGAAAGGAGATCTTTCGTCCAACGCCTTTTTTAGTCTCCTCCTCATATTCAGGGATACGTCAGCTATTGCCATGTCTCTTAATAATCTGTTGTAATGGCCGTTTAAATTTGCATTAATTCGTTGGTAGTGGATCGTTATACGTTTGTCGACTTGCAAGATGGAGGTCAGTACAGTTTTGTTAGTCAAGTACCAAGGTGCTTTTGTTATAAGTCAATATAATTTTGATTGGAAGGTTTGAAGTTTTTGTTGGTGGGCCATATTAGCAATACCGTATATCAGTTATGAGTATGTCCAAATTGGTTTGAGTAAGTAGGTATGTGTATTCAGTTTCTGTCACGGTTTAAGTTTTAACGATTTTGAATAAAGAGGGTAGAGTAGTTTGACTTATGTTATATGTCAATCGGTTTCAGGTTAGTTTGGTTGTTGATTCTTTAGTACTAATTTTACATTAATTAAATCTGATAACTTTATTTTATAACTGTATCCTATCCACAGCCATGATTTACATTCTTGATCATGACAGTGATTACGATTACAATCGTGTATCATGTATCAAGTTCATTCTTATGATACTGCCTATCTTTGCGCAACACGCAGTTAATAATGAGAGTTACAAATTCTCAACACTTTAGAAAAATAAATATATATTCTAACACATCTACGTTTCAAGTAGCAACATTCACTCCGTGCCCTTTGTTGTTTAATTTTATATCTGTATAACCATTTCCACTTTACGATCTTAAGCGCCGGGCTATCCTCCAAATGAAGTGTCGTCCTTTACTGCTCAATGCCCGTATGCTACCTTCAGCGACTGTCTTCCCTCATAAAACCGGCTAGTCCTCCTTAGGCATCAGGGCCAAACAGAGACTCAAGGGTCATCAAATCGGCTAATAAAAAGAAATAAACATTGATAGTAGAATGGCACTTTCAGTAAATTGTGCTCTTAATTTTATAAATTTATTGCGTTTACTTTGTTTTTCAACCGTAAGACCTTAGTTTACTTCCGGGACTATCCAATCATTTGTAGTTGGTTCAAAAAATTGTTCGCTGCCATAGTTATGGGATGTATATCATTTTTTGGGTTATATTCAAATTTATCGTAACTCACAACTTTTTCATCTACGAAAATTTTCGGAAATGAGGTGCTTTCTCATTAAATTAATTAATTTAATGAAGCACTATAAACTCATGAATACATATTTGGTTTCTAATTAAATCGTGAAATAATTTAATTAAAAATTTGAGACAAAAGTTGGTCAGCATAAATGTTGGACATATATAACTAGTCATATTTTTGTAGGCCACCCTTTGTTAGGTTTTTTATCATACGATTATAACATTTTTTCTTCTCCTAATCTTTACGTGTAATCACTTAAAAATCTTAGGGAACTTATGTAAATCATTTTTTTTTTTTTTTTACAATTTATTTCTTTATATATCAACAGTTATTTATTTTATTTTTTTAAATTTTTATATTCCATCACTACAATGATTTGCCTATAAAATTGATTTTGTGTCCCTTTCTAATTTCATTTAGGGATTATTATGCTATTGTTTTAGCTCCAATATTGTAGTATCGAACCCCTATTCCCCAACTGTTCTCGTTAATATATCCTAAGAGCTATTATACTTAATTTATTACTAGTATTTTGTTATTATTCATTGTAATAGGTCTTTTGGCCAGATTTATTGTTAATTTATATGAACAATACTGTTATTCTAATAGGACCTAGTCCCGGAATAAAGATGATTTTCTATTTCTATTTCTATTCAAATGGGTGTTTATGGTATCTTATTAAATAGACGAAGTTCATCTATCTCAAGACTAAAAAAGTACCATTTTCTCGAATTTTAGTAAATGAAAATGTTGTAAATTACGATAAGATAAAACCATTCACGAAGTTTTAGACGTATGTTAATTGTTTGATTTTTAAAAAAAAGGTCTTTACCTCAGACTAATTACTTTTTGTTGACTCTTTTTCGAGAAACGTTCTGCAATTTTATACATATTCTCTTCCTCGAAGAAAATCTATCAAAAATTGTTTTGCACAACTATTTCATGGATATATTGCATCTAGAAGATATTATTTATGATAATTCCTTAGTTCGTGTTCGGGTGCAGTAATTCCTGGCGTGAGTCTGTTGCTGATGTCGGCAGTCCCCAAGGACACCTACTGATAGCCCTGTTACTCCACCTTATCTGATCCTACTCTTGTAAACTTGGTCTCCCTACGGAGGAATTTGCTGGAGAATTCTACCTTTTTTTTCTTTATTTTATTTTAAACCGCAACAACTGTTGTTATGTATTACAATATTTAATATATTAAATACATAATTTTAATTTACCAGATTATTGATGACATAAATAAAATAAGTTATTTTAAGGGTTTGAGATGTGGCATTGTTTCAAGAAATTCTGTGAAGAAATTAAACTTTACATAAAAAAATGTTAACCTAACTTTCTTATTTGATTAATATTTTGTTTTATTTATCATTAATTAACCACATTACAGCTGTTAAAGATTCGATCGTATGCAGTTGACTTTATAATATTACAATAATAAATAGATTTTTCACTTTTCTTACTAAATGTTTTATTTATGATAATAATGAGAAAACGATACAAAATAAATGAAGAAAAATGCTTATTTCCACTCCAGTCCTTGAGTAGTAATTATATTTAAATATTTAATCATTATAAAGGTTATCGCATAGGGGACTCTGGGGGCAGCAATACTTTCCTTACCTAGTATAGGGAGGAAAGTAATAATTAAAAAATAGAATAAGCTGTATCATCGCTAATACTGGCTCGATTCCGATGATTTTTTTTTTTTTTTTGGTAATTACCTTTCAAAAGTTTATTATAAATTTTAGCGTATAATATATGCTTAGGGAGTTAGGCCCCGTAACATTTTTCTTTTCTTTATAACTTTTTTTCCCGAATTTTTTCGGAAATTTTGTCTATATAAATTGAAAGGAGAATGATTAGAACATTATGGGAAAGTTTCATCAAAATCGTTGTTTAGCGATACAGTCTATAGAACATGTTTTTCATTTATTGCCTGCAACCTAGCGCATGGAGCACTGAATTTTTGTCACAGGCATCAGTAATCAAAACCCTACAAAATAAAAAAAAGAAGCAACAAAATGGGTTCAGTTGTTCCCGGGAAAATCTTGGCACAGACAGACCAATGGCTAAAAATGTGTTTTTCGGACTCAGGGGGGTCTGAAACGTATAGATCCGTCGAAAACCGCATATCGGAAATTTGACCAGATTGCAATCCTTTCCTTACCTAGTGTAGGTAGGAAAGTAATAAATCCCTTTTGCGTTACAATTCGTGAGTTTAATAATACGGAATTTATATCAAATGTAATATATTACTATCAGCTTAATTCGGGGAATGAAGCATTCTTGACAAAATAAGTTTGCAGTTCCAAGAACGGAGTATGTTACGGTTTTCATTATGTTCCGCCCGAAAAATAAATTTCTAACCGAGAATTCATGAAGATTCGCTTTCGAGATGGTATCCATGACTGTAATCGTGAAGGAATTTCCCTGTTATGAGGTGCTATTCTGTTTTCACCACTTTTAATTGAGAATCTACAAAAAAAAAAAAAAAAAAAAGAGAGAGAATATCCGACTGCCGCCTTCGTGGCTTCTCATGTACAACTTTGGAATGATCCCCATCCACTTTTTCTTTTATTTATTTTTTTTTATTATGATAAGTTTAAAAAAAATATTCTCGTTAGCAAAATTTATTTTAATTTCATCACAATATTTTCCGAGCAAGAATTAATTTCCTTTCTGTTGACTCCTCATCGCCTAATTATGGTCATTAAAAGCACTTTGCTCCTTTTTTTATAAGAAAATAAAATCCGGACAGACAGTGCTTAGTGGGGAACCGTTATGAATAATGGCGTCTTCTCATTTTTCCTCCCGTAATTAAAACTTTTCAAAACCTTTTTAGATTTTTTTCATTTTATTCACCGGCTTTTAATCTTATTACTTAGTACTCTATTTATGGTCTGCCACCAATCAGAACCTGTCCTGTCGATTTTTAAGGTGTTTTTTTTTTTTTAACGCGGTAGATGTTTCTTGCTTTTTTTTTTATTCCACTATTAATGAAGCATCTAATAAATGCCCTTTAATAAATAATGAAATAAAATTTACATTAAAAAAAACCTTGTAAATGTTTTCCAAGTCCATTACTATATTATTGCTTCCTCACTACCGAAGCATTGTATCCGTGCGAGAGGTTAAAAAAAATTGTGTGCTCAGAATCGAAAATTTTCACTCGCGTTTTACGTTTCAGACATCAAGGATCAAATTTGGTTCGGTGTTTGTCTGTCTGGAGTCAAATCGATGTAACGGGCATATTACCTACTACCGTTCATCCGATTTTCAGGAATTGTGCGGGTTGGTGTCTAGATGGTGCCATATAAATTTTATTAAATTCTAACCTTCATTTCCGCTTACCCTCGCGCAAATGCATTTTTCTCGATATGCCAATATTTCAGAAACTGCTAGTTCGATTTGGCTCAAAGTTGGATAAAAGGTAGGTATTTGTGAAAAAAAAAATTGTAGGGTCAATTTTATTGAATTCTGTCTCTTTCATTCTCTTATTTATGCGCAAACGTGTTTTCCTTGCGATGCACAGTGATTTATCCTGAGTTTAGGAACCAGTTACTGGATTCCAGCTAAAGGTTAATGGTTTTCCATCGACCCCAAAAGCCATTAGAAATTTGAGTGTTCGGTTTTTCAATCAACGAATAAAGGAACGTGCTGAATGCTGATGATGAGTCTAGGAATCACCCTGTATTGAAATTTAGTGAAATTAACGATTGCTATATAAAGTAAAATGTTATAATGATTTTTTTAATTCAAGTATATACACATAGTTCATTAGTTTTTTGGCTCCTGTGTTTTTCCAGTCATTTATAAATCTTATTCTTCTTTCTTGTGAGTCGACTGTTGTCATTTCTCCAGTGCAGTCACCATGAAACAGTCATCTCCCATCATGTCGTTTTTATTCAAAAATTTATTCAGATCTTTTTCTTAATCAATTTTGAGTGTGATATGGTTGCCGATCAATTTTTGCTTGAATTTATTTAATTTCTAATAAATATAATATAGCTATTCCTTTTAAAAAAGAAAAACAACTCTTACTTCAGTTGCTAGAGGATAAGTTCAGTAGCACTGTTCTTTTAGATAAACATCATGTTATATAAATAAACTCAGATCATTGTCCGTACTGTAATGTTTCGGTTTGGAATCCCAGCTGTTTTCATTAAAATAGTTAGATGTACCTATCTTAAGACATTTTTATATTTTGTTCAACCTAAAATTTATTTAGGGAATAATGGTATGAAACCGGATATTTTTGGAATAGATGGGTGCTGATTGAGAACAGAAGTAAAGCGGCTGTTAAGTTGTATGTTGGAGCCCTTTTTATCCCGAAGGGTATTTGTTTAAAGCAACCCTAATGGATTTTATCTTGTAATAAGGGACGACGGGAAACCCCCAACGTCTTCCAGCCTTCTCTTCAAATCCTATGGAAATCCTTCAGCCCCAAGAGTTTTATTTTTTCACCCTCTTTTTTTTCCCTTTTTTTTTTTTGGATTAGTCGGAGAGTTTTTACTTTAAAGTAAACTTAAGTTTAGATTGTGAAGGAATGAAAATGTCAGGGCGATTAATTTAGTACTGAGTCAAATAAAGACTTTCATCGAATATTTTTAAACTTGTTTGAAAAAAAAATTAAATATATGAAAGAAGCCTGGGTCGAAATTAAAAACTAATAACATCTATATTTGGCCACGTGTAATTTGATGTTTAGCTTGTTTCTTCCTTAATTCAGCTTTATTTAAGAAAAAAAAAAATATCCGCAGATTATCATTATTCGGTTGTCAATATCCATGAAGTGTATTAAAACTAGTTTCATTCAAGAAATATAAGGAAACATTTATGTTTACACTCTAACCGGTTATATTAAGAAAATAACAAAAAACATTAGCTGATGTAAAAGTCGTTATAAATTTTGACCAGTGATTTTTCTAACCTCCTATTTCCTTTGATTTTTGCGATGATTATTGAATAAAGGTTTATAAAATTGTTCAAATGTCATGATTATTTTCTCAAGTTTTTAATAATGTATACTTGTTTTGTACAATTTCGTTTTTGTTAACTTATATCTAAATATTAGCTTGTTTTTTTGTGTTGATAGTACAGGTATGATATGTTTTAATAAATTTCATCTGCAGCCCATAGTTTGTCAGATTTTATCTCGATTCAATTAATTTTTGAGGAAATATATTTTAAATTGTATTTCTGTAACATTGCAATCCGTCAATTTGAAAAATGAGTCGATGTCATTCGAAATAGGAATCAGGAGTATATTGGCAATGGCTTGCGTTTCAATATTTCTCAAAATAAAATTGTCATTACAGAGTCGAAATTACTGTAATTGAATTCTAGGCTAGGTACATTTTTGGGATTGACGCAAGATACTATTCATAAATATAAAATTTGTTGTTTAGAGGCATCACTTAACATTTTCCTTTGATATTTTACGATATTACAATTTAGTTTCATAATAAGATATATTCTGTTTCATATGTTTTTTTTTATTTTTGTCCTGATAGTTTTTGACTGTTTACGAATTTCTGTAGTAGTTTTTGTTTTTCGTTATATCTTAAAATAAATGTTTTTCTGTCATTTGCCAACCTGAAGCGTTCTTGTCAACAACGAAAATATGATATTTTTTTTCTTATAATTATTTATTTAGTTATTAAATAATATAACATTCTGTCACTTTGACTATGGTTATAGGGAGGTAAGATCACATTCACACTATATGTATAAAAAATAAATAAAATAAACAGAAGAAGAAAAAAAAGTGTATACAATTAATAAAATAAATAATGATAACTAAATTTAAAAAAAAAAACTGAATGGTACTATGGATTAATGTTTTTTAATTGTACAAATACAAGGTTATTTCTTGGTCGTTTGTCCAGACTACTTGGAAGGTTTACTAAAACGTGGAAAGCTACAATAAAAAATCAATCATTTCACTCAGACTGTAATAGGTGGGTTACTTGAATGTTATCCTCACCTTCCTTTCTTGGTTCTTATTTAACTCAATAAAGTTTATTTTTTTATCGGATTGTTTAGTCTCTCAGTGAATTTCGATTTTTCGAATATCCT